AGGACCGCAAACTTTGTACATTTCTAGACGTTTCGCAGGCATTCTACCATCGGTAGACTTCGCCATATTTAGCACCAAACTACAACTCGTCAGAGGGACATGCGAAGTCCACTCATTTACCAATTTAAGCAGAACATGACTACTATGACAGAGGGCTATCGACAAGGTGAGTTCACCTAGGTCTACGAAAATACAAACAAATTGTGAAAACGAGATTAAACTTCTTCTATGGGGTAAAAGTTAATAAGGCGCTGCTCACAGCAAGTTTAATTGGACTTAGCCTAAAATGGTAAAGCAGAATATTAAAAGGATTTGGCTCTGGAGCGGAAGCAAAGCTTTAATATGACAGACACCTTGGGGTGAAGAAACAACTGAACAGCTATTTTCATGAATTTTTCCAACAATCGCCTGAAGAATTCGTCCTATAGTATATGGGCAGCCGAGGGAGATTTTCACTATGGAAAATAGAAAGAATAGAAACAAGCGCTGAGCAAATTAGAGGCCGTTTATTCTACCATAGGATTCGCCAACAGCCAAGAGTATATAGAAAAACTTACATATTGTAACATCTATCCAGAGATTATCAAGATTATCCACATGACTAAAATGGCATCTACGAGCAGAAAGCCAATAATTGGTTAGAAAAATGAAAAAATCTTATGAGTGCTTGCTTTGTCTGACAATTAGACTGTAATGCAATCTATTAAAATTTGACCAAAGCAGAAGTTTGAAGCATGCTGGTCACAAAACTACGAATTACAGAAGATAATACCATTAAATAACGTGGAAGCCATCTGAAAATTTAAAGAATGTGATAATAAGACCTTAGATATCCTAAGCCACTTAGGCTGATCTATGTGATAACCATTGAGTTTTTCTTATTTATATAAGTAGGCCCCTATATTCCACTGCATTTCGATCAACCTCACCTTCCAAAGGTTTTTCTTATACAAGGCGGACTGAAGTGTTGAACTTGCCCAGGCCTCATCAACGCCCCCAACGGAATTAAAATAAGGTCATGGGCATGTGTAATCTCATGGAAGGTGTTGATTGGATCTGGGAAAATTCGAAATTATATGGGAAACGAGGCTAATTAAAATCCGATTGCGTATTGAGGCCTACATATTTCATTGTGGCCACCTATTAATAGTGCCTCCTAGATGAGATAAGTTGATAAAAGTTCTTATTCAAAAAAATATGACCATATGGACTTTATACCGACAGATAATGCAAGTGGAATATGCAGCTATTTTTCACTTGATTAAAAAAACACGAATTGTACTCGATAACGAGAATTCGAAGTTTATGCCGGTTTCCCAAACCTCTACGGGGAATGAATCCTTAGGGTAAATATAGGGAAGTTAACGGTATAGTACAAGTGGACTAAAAATGGGATAGAATTACAAAATAAGGAATATTTATAAATCGTAGAGATTAAGGATAGTTATCCTAGATAATAGTATAGGAAAAAAGAGGTAATAAATGGGGCAAGCGGGACTTCAACAAAAGTGGCGAGGGTAAAACAGCAAATGGTGTACTATCCTGAGTATAATGAGTTTTAAGCACCATTATATTTATCCATCCAAGAAAAATAGTGAGTGCTGAATTCAACTAAGCTACTTAGGCAATCAAATAAGAATCGACAGGAGAGTTGCAATTGTGATAGAGCTTAAGGAGCAATCAAGGAAAAGACTGATTTTAGCCATAAAAACGAGGTAATCATCACAATTTTATGTGGCCCATGCACAGTCTACCTTGTCGTAGAGAATTTTAGTAAGGCAAACTTTCAGACTCTAAGGATATTTGTCACATGTTAGAGAAAAGATCAATGCGGATCCATCTGGATCGCGGAACGGCGCGACCTGAACTTATTCGAGAACAGCTAACGTTAAAATTCCAAAGTAATCTTCCTTCGGTTTAAAGTAAAGTAATTTTAGGAACACCTTTCACTCTCGCCTTTTCCAACATCTGGTTCCCAAAATCAAAGGTGTAATAAATTTTCGATATGCAAAATTTCAAATCAGGATACGGGGTCTTAACAAAAACTCCGTTTTTTTACGGAAGCCTTAAAGAGTCGGTATAAACAAATAGAAATCAAGATATGTAGATTTTAGAAAAGATAAGGAATCTTTGTGCAATATAAGTAATGATGCACGAAGTTGCATTATGTTTCGAGCGGTAGTGAAGAGATCCAAATGATCTTTCAAGATTAATACACATTTTCCAGGTTCATATTGTCCATCCTATATTCAGAATAATTAAGAAATTGGCTTACGCTTAGATAGAAAACTGAAATCTCAAGCATATCTATCATAAGAAAGTAAATAAATGAACAAATAGGAACAATGAATGAGGTTGGGAGAAAAAGAGGAATAATAATTTGAACGTGTCTAACCCTAGCTCTCTAGCAACCACATTCGCCATAGACAGGGTGACGGTGCGTTCCTCTGTGAGATCTGCTTTGTTTCCGACCAACACAACATCAGGTCGATCACAGTAGGCGTGTTGGCAGAGCAAGCTCATCCAATCACGACAATTAAGCAGGCTCTTTTCATTAGTCAGATCGAAGACAAGCAAAAATCCCATTGCGTCGCGTAGGAAAACAGTACAGAGGCTTCGAAACCTGATACAAGAAAAATTATGGTAATAAAAGGATGAAATTAACGAATAAGAATCAAGTACTAAAAAATATTTCGAACGAGAAGTGAAAGAGAGGGGCGTAGGTTAAGGGAAAGATATTCTATTAAATGAAAAACGATCCAGAACAATGACCAACATATGTTTCTTTAGGTGACGAAAGCATGAGAAATGATTGAAGGATTCAAATTATGGGCAATATTTTCCGATAAATTTGGTCAGATGAGGCCTAAGTTCAAATTAGCTGAACACGAAGTTTCCG